ATGACTGTAAATGCCTTAGTGACCTGGCTGCAGGAGTTTCTCGCAGTGACATTGACTGTGTAGGCTATTATGATAAGGGCTTTAGAGATCCTACTGTTCTTGTCTTTCTAACACTGGGAAGTCTTAGCTGAAGAGGCCTTTGTTGATATTGGTTCTAACATGATTCACAGGCAGTCACAGTGACACTGGGATTCAGGGCCTAATATCTATTTTAATTCTCTTGGGCCACAGAAATATAAAATTAAAATACTCTGGCATTTCACTTGTACAATACAATGTAAGCCGCCTTAAATTAAGCCTACTTTTTGACTTGAGTAAACTATAAATCTCTTCTTTTAGTTTAGGATAGTAAACTAAGGCAAAGAGGTTCAATGAGACTGATGTTGGCATTCTCCTTGAAGATGCAACTTGCTATAATTATCTTTGATTATGTATAAGATTAAACAAAAATGTAGGTCTGTGATCTGGCGCAGTGGCACATTCCTGTAATCCCAGTACTTTGGGAGGCTGAGGCAGGCAGATAACCTAAGGTCAGGAGTTTGAGACCAGCCTAGCCAACATGATGAAACACTGTCTCTACTAATAGTACAAAAATTAGCCAGATGTGGTGGCAGGCACCTGTAATTCCAGCTACTTGGGAGGCTGAGGCAGGAGAATCGCTTGTACCTGGGAGGCAGAGGTTGCAGTGAGCCAGGATCATGCCACTGCACTCAAGCCTGGGCAGCAGAGTGAGACTCTGTCTCAATTAAAAAAATAAAAATAAAATATATATATATATTTATATATATCCATAAACCAGCAGAAAAACACCTAGACTATTCAAAGCACATTATTACAAAACAAAAATAAAATATTTTTCTTCACTTTGCTTTTTCCAACTTGTATCTTAGATTCAGGGTACACATGTGCAGATTTGTTACACGGATAAATTGTTTGTTGTGGTGTTTGGTGTACAGATTATCAAGTAATCCAGGTAATGAGTATAGTACCTGATGAGTAGTTTTTTTATTCTGACCCTCCACACTCTACCCTCCAGTAGTCCCTTGTGTCTATTGTTCCCTTCTTTGTGTCCATGCGTACTCATTGTCTAGCTCACACTTAGAAGAGTAAACATGCAGTATTTGGGTTTCTGTTCCCACATTAATTTGCTTAGGATAATGGTCTCCACCTCCATCCATATTGCTGTGAAGGCCATGATATTCTTTTTACGGCTGTGTAGTATTCTATGGTGTACATGTACCAAATGTTCTTTATCCAGTCCACCATTGATGGGCATTTAGGTGGATCCCATGTCTTTGCCAAGTTTCCTGAGGCCTTCTCAGAAGCTGAGCAGATGACAGCATCATGCTTCCTGTACAGCCTGCAAAACCATGAGCCAATTAAATCTCTTCTCTTTATAAATTACCCAGTCTCAGGTATTTCTTTGTACAATGTGAGAATGGACTAATACAATGTCCTTTGCCCATTTCTTAATGGGATTGTTTGGTTTTTGTTTGTTGAATTGTTTAATTTCCTTATATATTCCAGATATTAAATCTTTCTCTGATGTATAGTTGGCAAATATTATAAAAAATATTATTAAAAAAATACTCTACATTGTCTGTTTTCTCTGATGATAGTTCCTTTTGCTGTCCTGAAGCTTTTTAGTTTAATTGCACTTCTCAGTTTTTGCTTTTGTTTTTGTTTTTGTTTTTGAAATTACTTTTGGAGTCTTCATCATGAAATTTTTGCCAGGGTCTATGCCCACAATGGTATTTCCTGTATATTCTTCTAGGGCTTTTATAGTTTTAGGTTTTATATTTAAGTCTTTAATTCACGTTGAGTTTATTTTTGTGTATGGTAAAAGGAATGAGTCTGGTTTTAACCTTACGCATATGGCTAGCCAGTTATCCTAGCACCATTTATTGAATGGAGTCCTTTCCCAATTGCTTGTTATTGTTAACTTTGTCAAGATTAGATAGTGGTAGATCTGTAGCTTTATTTCTGGGTTCTCTAACTTGTTCCTCTGGTCTATGTGTCTGTTTCTGAGGCAGTACTATGCCATTTTAGTTAATGTAGCCTTATAGTATAGTTTAAAGTCAGGTAGTATAATGCCTCTGGCTTTGTTCTTTTTGTTTCAAATTGCTTTGGCTATTTGAGCTCTTTTTGGTTCCATATAAATTTTAGAATAATTTCTTCTACTTCTGTGAAAAGTGTTATTGGTAACTTGATAGGAATAGCATTTAATCTATAAATTGCTTTCGGCAGTATGACCATTTTTAAAATATTGATTCTTCCTAACCATGAGCATGGAATGTTTTTCCATTTATTTGTGTCATCGCTGATTTCTTTCAGTAGTGTTCTGTAATTACAATTGTAGAGATCTTTCACCTCCCTGTAGGTGTATTCCTAGGTATTTTATTCGTTTCACTGCTAATGTGAATGGGATTGCATTTTTTTTTTATTTGGCTCTCAGCTTGGATATAATTGGTGTATAGAAATGTTACTTATTTTTGTACATTGATTTTGTATCTTGAAACGTTACTGAAGTTGTGTATCAGATCTAGGAGCCTTTGGGCAGAGACTATAGGGTTTTCTAGGTATAGAATCATATTATCTGCAAAGAGAAATAGTTTGACTTCCTCTTTTCCTTCTGGATGTCTTTTTTATTTCTTTCTCTTGAGTGATTGCTCTGGTAAGGACTTCCAGAACTATGTTGAATAGGAGTGATGAGAGTGGACATCATTGTCTTGTTGTGGTGGGGAATCCATCCAGCTTTTGCCTGTTCAGTATATTGTTGGCTGTAGATTTGTTATAGATGAGACTTACTGTTTTGAGGTATGTTCCTTTGATGCCTTGTTTGGGGTTTTAAAATGAAGGGATACTAAATTTTATTTATATATTTTTCTGCATTTATTGAGATAATCACATAGCTTTTGTTTTTAGTTATGTTTATGTGATGAATCACATTTAGTGATTTGCATATGTTGAACCAATCTTATATTGCAGGAGTAAAGCCTACTTGATCATGGTGGATTAGCTTTTTGATGTGCTGCTAGATTCAGTTGAGAATTTTTGCATCTATGTTCATTAGGAATACTGGACTAAAGTTTTCTTTTTTCATTGTATCTCTGCCAGAGTTTGGTATCAGAATGATGCTTGCCTTATAGAATGAGTTAGGAAGGAATCCCTCCCCCTCAACTTTCTGAAATAGTTTCAATAGGATTGGTACCACCTCTTCTCTATGTTGGTAGAATTCACCTGTGAATTCATCTGGTGCAGGGCTTTTTCTGGTTGGTAGGATTTTTATTACTGATTCAGTTTCAGAACTCCTTATTGGTTCATTAAGGGTTTCAATTTCTTCTTGCTTCAATCTTTTTTTTTTTTTTTTTTAATGGAGTCCCACTCTGTGGCCAGGCTGGAGTGCCATGGCATGACCTTGGCTCACTGCAACACCTGCCCCCCAGGTTCAAGCCATTCCCCTGCATCAGCCTCCCAAGTAGGTGCGACTACAGGCCCACACCACCATACCTGGCTAATTTTTGTATTTTTAACAGAGATGGGGTTTTACCATGTTGGCCAGGGGTCTCCACCACGTGATTCACCTGCCTTGGCCTCTCAATGTGCTGGGATTAGAGGCATGAACCACTGCCTCTGGCCTCTTGGTTCAATCTTAAGAGACTGTATATTTTCAGAAATTTATCCATTTCTTCTAGATTTTCTATTTTGTGTGCATAGAGGTATTTGTAATTGTCTCAGGACTTTTTACATTTCTGTTGAGTCAGTGCTAATGTCCCCTTTGTCATTTCTGATTGTATTTATTTGGATCTTCCCTCTTTTTTAAATAGTCTATCTAGCAAGTGGCCTATCAGGTTTTTTATTCTTTAAAAATATAACTTTGGGTTTTATTGATCTTTCATATGGTTTTTTAGCATCTAAATTTTTTTCAGTTCAGAACTAATTTGGTTTTCTTTTGTCTGGTAGCTTTGGGATTGGTCTGCTCTGGTTTTTCTAGTTCCTCGAGGTGTGATGTTAGGTTGTTAATTTGAGATTTTTCTAACTTTTTTGTGGGCATGTAGGTCTATAAACTTTCCTCTTACCATTACTTTAGCTATGGCCCAGAGAATCTGGTTTGTTGTACATTTGTTTTCATTCAGTTCAAAGGATTTCTTGATTTCTACCTTAATTTCATTGTTTACCCAAAAGTCACCCAGGAGTAGATTGTTTAATTTCCATGTAATCTTTTGATTTTCAGAGAGCCTCTTGATATTAAAATCTCTATTTTTTTTTCACTGTGGTCTGAGAGTGTCATTGTTACATTTTTTAATTTGTTGAGAATTGCTTTATGGCTGAGCACATGGTCGATTTCAGAGTATTTCTCATATGCAGATGAGAAGAATGAATATTCTATTGTTGTTGGGTGGAGTGTTCTGTGGATGTCTGTCAGGTCCATTTGATTGAGTGTTGAGTCCCAAATATCTTTTGTTAGTTTTCTGCTTTGATGATCTGTTGAATACTGTCAGTGTGGTGCTGACATCTCCCACTATTATTCTGTGTTTACCTAAGTCTCTTAGTTCTTCACTTTTTTAACATATTTAATTTGGACTATAATTTTTCACATTTTATCTGTATACATACATTCAAATATTGTCCCTTCATGTAACCCATTCTTCTATTTTCAAAAGACAGATGCTAGTAAATCTGCATCCATCTATCTGTGCATTTTAAGTCACAATTGACATTTTGCCTTTTAAGGAAAATATAAGAAGAGTGATTTTTTAAAGTAATATTTTGGTAATATTTGGACTGAAATTAACATGATATAATATTTTAACATCTCTAAGCAGAGTTAAAATTACAACTATTTCAAAATTATATTTAGACAAGTTATTCTTAATAACACTCCAAATCTTTTGGCTTTTCCTATAAGAGTATTGCAGTACCAGAAAAAAATATAATGTTCACTTATTCATTTTGATTGCACTTTCTAATGTCATTTGGCCTATGCATCCCAACATCACCTTGTCAGAGAGTACTGCTTCCCCAAGGCTGCCCCAGGGTCCTGTTGACGGATTGCTCTAATTGCAGTTGGTGCTGTAAACAAGGCAGCTACTCCATGCTCTGCAAGCACACGGAAATAAGCGCCAGCATCTGGTGTTCCCACAGGCTTCCCCTACAATGAGATTCATTTAAAATGTCACTGGGTAAACTGTCTCATATTTCACTGACAGTTCAATAGTTATACATTTAACACAACAATGTTAATAATATGGGGTTTTCAACAAATCTTAGTTTTAAAATATTTCCATGTTCTGTCATAAATAAAGCAAACCAAATACTCAGGCATAAGAGAGGCTGTTTGCTCCATTATAGTATCTTAAAAGCTTTCAAATTATAATTTTTTCTTCATTAAGTTTTGAAAAATAAAGAATTAAAAATACATATCACATTCAAATTAAGAACATAAAACATTCTTGTATTTGCCAAAAAAAACTAAATATGGTTGTTATGAATATTGAACTTTAACGCATTTTTCATGATCACTATTAAAAGTGACAACAGTATTTCTCAAAACATTTGAGAAAAAAGAAAAATCTGCAAAAGCAGTGATTCCTGAGCAATGACCTTTTCAGTTAAATGTCTCACTCCAAGAAAAGTAACTCCTATGAATTAAAAATAATCCAATAAGATGTGCCAAAGTGCATGTTTTTCACAGACTCAAAATAACATTATATATGTTCAATGGAAAATCATGCATAAAAATCTCACAATTTGGCAAGCCATGCAATTCAAAAGACAAAGAAAGGTTTAGTTGATGTTTCTGCAAAGTGAAAAATAGGCAAGTTACTAAAATAAATCAGTAAGTCTGCAAACATTCTAACTAACCCATAAAATCTATCTTGGCCAAGTCACATCCCCTTCTCTCATAATCAATCCTCATCACTGCTACCTTTTCCTGTGTTTCTAAAGCAAGATGACTGGAATGTTAATGTATGTTTTGGAACATATATTATATATATGTGTGTGTATATATATTTCACAGCCAAACCCTTTTGTGGAAGTTGGAGGTAAACAAATGGCAACAGGGTTTTTTAATCTTAGATCATTTCTAACCTTAAAAGGGTTAAGATGTATTACTGATTTCTAAGAGAAGGGTAACTGTATTTAATATTTCCTAAACCTCCCTGATTAAATTCTCAATCTCAGTTTCCCATGAAACTCTGTAAATGACCCGTAGGAAACACCGAACTAAGGTAAAAAGAGCAAAGGATTTGCTAGTAGCACACTCAACAATGTCCCCAAACAGGGAATAAGAAAAAAATGATGATATCATGACAGATATATTAATTTTTTTAATTTAGAAAAAGGAATGAACTATAAATGAGGTCTAGGATAGCTGTCCAATAATTTAGATTCAATACTCATTGATTAGATCATTGATAGAACACTATTTTTTTAATTATTTTTAAATAGTTTTCTTTAATATTCTTTAGTGTAATTATGTTCCTATTTAAAAAAAAACTATTTCAACTTGTTTTATATTCTATTGCTTTCTATTTTGCCTTTTTAGTACCAAAAAAGTATTTGCTGCAGCTGGAAATTCATTTTGATTATCACTATCTAAAGCACTATTTCAATTTATTTCATTACTCTTCATACAAATCAACACATGCAAATAATACAAAAAGCTGCAAAATACAACCTGGCAACACATGTACATAATTTCACTCACAAATTTTGAAGCCTTTAGTACATCAGTCTGAAATGAGTCTGCAACTTTATTCCTTCTAACAAACTAGGTAAACATTTTATTTTTACTTTTTTGATATGTCTCAGGCATTGATCAGTTCCCTGAGTATTAGACTGTGACTTAGAAAATGTGATCTCACCCACGTGAAAATGATTTATTAACTGACCTTGTGCAACTGACTTACCCTGTCTATGCTTCCATTTACTTGCCTGTTAAATAAGAATAAATCATTTTGCCAATGTTTTCTCAATAAGCTAAAGGCACTGAGATAATATTGTAGGATAATTTAACCTCCACTGAAGAAAGATATTTTATAGCCAATCGAAATTGAATTCCACGACAGTGCCAGTGTCATGAGAAAATAATTACTCACTAAAGGGTGATATTAATATCATAATTAAAATGATATACCATGTAAGACCACCTACATAGAGGACACAGTATTTTACAGTGCCTCCAATTACTTATGTTTAATGATAACAATAAGGGCATATCAAGTATTAAAAATATAGTCCTATGCCATATAGCAATGTTTTAGATAATTATGATACCATATTTTTGTGCTTTGTTTTGGTGGTTTTTAAGACAGAGTCTCGCTCTGTCGCGCAGGCTGGAGTGCAGTGGTGCAATCTTGGCTTACTGCAACCTCGACCTCCTGGGTTGAAGCGATTCTCCCTGCCTCAGCCTCCTGAGTAGCTGGGACTACAGGTGCATGCCAGAAAGACACAGGTGCACGCCCAAAAGACTACAGCGGATGAGATATCCCCTAAATAATTAAGGATTCCAAGGACAGAATAACCATGCTGAGATGTGCTCATACAGCAGGCACACATCAGTGTAAACTTGCTGTGATAGGCAAAATTTTGTCTGCTGTTTTGAGTGAGTGTCTTAGAGGTCCATGATTACACTAAAAAAAAAAAAAAAAAAAAAAAAAGGCATGGATCACCAGGGACATTTTTTTTTTTTTTGGAGACAGAGCCTTGCTCTCAGGCTGGAGTGTAGTGGCAGGATCTTGGTTCACTGCAACCTCTGCCTCCCGGGTTCAAGGGATTCTCCTGCCTCAGCCTCCCGAGTACCTGGGATTACAGGCACCGCCACCATGCCCAGCTAGTTTTTGTCTTTTTAGTAGAGACAGGGTTTCACCACGTTAGCCAGGCTGGTCTTGAACTTCTGATCTCAGGCAATCTGCCTGCCTCGGCCTCTCAAAGTGCTAGGATTACAGGCATGATACCATAATTTTACTGCACTTTTTCTATGTTTAGATATATTTAGCTATACAAATACCATGTGCTACAATTGCCTGCAGTATTCAACACAGTAACATGTACAGGTTTGTAGCCTTGAGCAATAGACTATACTATATAGCCTAGCTATGTAGTAGGCTATACCACCAGGTTTGTGTAAGTATACTCTATGATGTACACACAGTAATAAAATCTATGGATACATTTCTCAGAACGTATCTCCATTGTTAAGCAATACATGACTGTATTAGTAAAAAAACTACAGCATACTTTTTATAATATATGATTTTAACTTCTATTGCAAGTCTGACCCTGTACCAAACTAATTTTCATCAATATTATACTTACGGAATATAAAAATCATGATAATGTAGCATTACTATTAGAATAGTAAAGAAGTGTTCATAAAATCTCACGATGTTCTTTCATAAGTTAATTGAACATAGAAAAGTTCAGTTGCTTTGTGTTTTACTGTCCATTCCCCAGAAGATAATTCGATGTTATGAATAAAATGTTTTCCTATTTAAAATTACTTTAATATTTATATACTTTACTTTTTTCTTTTTTAAAACCTTCTGTTCGATGTCAAATTTAATTAAAACAATTGTGATATTAAAGAAATTACCCATTTCAAAAATAGTCTGATGATTAACATATATATTAAGCCCAGAATAATGTAAACATTTCAGTTAATATAATGTAGCATAGAGAAAGATCTTTCATCATAAACTATTGTTTACATACAAACAAATAATAAAGTGGGTAACACTGGTATATTTATTTATTTAATAAAAATTCTGGGAACAATTGTGTGAATAAGCCGGATAAGGTCCTGCTTTAATGGAACACACATTCTCATAAGTTTGGATGTGTGTATGTCTATGTGTGTGTGTATGGGATAATATTATTAGAAATTGCACAGTATATGCTGCAAGCTATTTGTGTCCCATAAACAGAAAGAATGCAGTAATAAATGGAGGACTTGTATGTGCTCAGTACCTACCACCACCAGTAGCTTCAGAAAGCTGAAGCAAAGCCTGTAAGAATCTTTTATTATTAATGCTAAATAAAAGTGACTCAATGGCTTATTGATTTTATTTATAATTCTCTCCTGCCTTCATACACGTGCACACACACATAGACAAGCAGGCACACATAAGCAATAAAATATCTTCATAATGCTTTTTAAAAGCAGCCAGGAACACATTAAGCATACTGAACTGCCTAAAGAAAAAGACATTGATTCCATAACTTGGTTTTCAGTAAGGGGCAGTAACCCAGGCAATATTCAATTTAAAAATAAGAAGATTCTAAGATTGCAGGGATTTTAAACAAACAACATATACACCAAAAGCAATAATGCAGTCAAAAATATCAACTTTAAAGCTCCTCAACTCAAACCAATGTGGTTACCAGTTGTTTATTTAATTTCTTTCTCCCAAACTAAGTCTACATTATTAGTTGCTTCCTAGATAATAAAGGTAGAAAGGGATGTCTACAAAGATGAAGCCAAAATCCTAAGCTTTCAGCTGTTAGAAATTATAAAATTTAACCTCAGAGAGTTATAAAACATCAATTGCTAATATTAGCAAGATTTATAATGTGGCTAACAAGGTACACAGCACAGAAACCAAAACAGTTACCAAAATGCCTTAATATTAACATCCATATATAATTTTCTACTAGTTATGATTTATTATATTAGTATGTATTGTAGATGACAAGCCCCCAGTTAGAAAACCAGTTACTGTCTCACCTTCTCACATATTTTCTACTAAGGTTAAGTTTTCAACACAGGAAAGCGGCGAAATACAACCACTTAGCAAAATTAAGTTATAATTAAACAGTAGAGTTAAATCTTTGGACAAAAAAATTGCTTTATTATTAATCCTATGATTAATCCTATGATTCCATTTCTTCAAGTCTTGAGGTCAAGACTACTTGTGATTTCCCAGACACTGATATAAAACTTTTTGAGTCAACTGCAGTTTTGCCTCTTTTTTGGTGGCAGGATTAGAAATACATCTGGTCTCTTTCTGAATACTACTTTTGAGAAATGTCACCCAAGGCATGTTTCCACAGCAGTTCTAAGGTGAAGACAGCAGCATCCTTTATCGACTAGTAGCAAATTTTATTTCAGCAGACAGGTTGTTTTGTTTATTTCAGGAGAGTGATAAA